GCATGTGGTGCTGGGGGATTGAACCGCGGTCCCTGTGCTTTGCCAAGCTTATTCCAAGTAGGTGCTTTAGACCACTGAGCCATCTCGCCAGCCCCAGGAAACCGAACTTTAACAAAATTGAGTACAACAAAGATTAGTTCCTGGCCGGGGAGATGGCTCAGTGGAATAAGCACTTCCCTGGCAAGCGCAAGGACCTGAGTTCAATCCCCGGTTCCACAAAAAAAAAAAAGATTAAGTCCTGGCCCAAAGCAACAACGAAGTTATCAAGCTCTTAGCCCTGTTTCTCTGCAGCAAAGAGCTGAAAAGCAATCAGCGTTATTATGCTGGCGGACTGATGCAGGATTGCTCACAAAGCACGGACCCCTGCGCTGGCTTTGGAACTGGCTTATGTAAATTTTGCAAGCAAGTGCAGGAGCTTGAAAGCCTGGTGAGTTTCGATTGAGTGGTGTGGGTCAGTTTTCATTGCTGGACAGAAAGTTCTTGAAACAAGTTAGAACGTGTTTGTGGCCAGAAAGGACAGGGTGTGCAGCTAAGTGCGGTCAGACTGAGCGGGATCAGGCTATCTATGGTTTGCAGCTGGGCATAGCCGCGCGAGGCTAACTGAGTCTATCTGTTGAATTATTCAGTGAGCTAGATAATCATATTTTGTCCTTACATGGTATCAGACTACTAGTTGATTTTTAAAAATTTCCGTTACATTCCCCGCTTTTTCTGGTTAGAATAAAAATTTCTCTTCTGAAGGGAGGAGCTGATAAATTGGAGCAGTCTGTAAGAGATTGGCGGTGCACAGCCTCAACCCACTCAGAAAGAAACCAGGCCAGAAGGTAGACCATGCAAGGGCCTAGCAGGAGACTTAGCCTGAGTGTCACTGAGGGTCCTTACAGGGCCCCAAAACATGTAGGGAAGAACTCGAGGGAGCCCCACTGGAAGGATTCAGCCCTCGTTCCTTGGGCCCACTGTTCAAGGTGTTTTCAGAGATGTCGGGTGTTTTCTCTGACTACGCCAGCCTTCTTTTTACTACAGCAGCCTTTCTGCTCTAAGAAGAGGCAAGTGCCCCTTGTCAAATGGTGAAGAGTGCTAAGGCCCTTCTGTTCTGCGGGACAGCCACCTCCTCAGTTCACAGGATAGGCTGGGGCAGGGATGGCGAAACCGCAACCCAGATCCCAGTTACTTATCGCAAAGTGCCAACACTGCAGTGAAACCCGAATACTGGAGTTTTAGTTTAGAAAAACAACTCAACATCTTTTGGCTTAAAAGAAAAATGCAACAACATGCATGCCATAGATTCTCACTAAAGGGCTACAGGGTCAACCAAGGGAAAGTAAAAGGCAGAAACATCGGAAGGTGGGTGTTACATAGGACAACTCACCTCTTTGCTTTACCAAGTCAAGAAAAGATGTAGATTGATGGATTTTTGTACCGGGGATTGAACTCAGGCCCTTGCGCTTGCCAGGAAAGCTCTTATTCTACTGAGCCATCTCCCTGGCCGCCTCCCTGTGGCTTTTTCTCTTCTCACACTTACAGAAAACAATTATTTGTGTTACATTCCCACTGCGTTGAATACTGAACGTGATTTATTTGTTGCAGATTTCACCCTGCTTCATAAATAGACTGAGTCTTACCTGACCTCCAAGTTCAGAGGGGCACCTTCCCTGTGCCCTGCCCATGAGCCCCACTATCTCATAAAGCAGTACTTTTCACACTATTTTTCACCTCTGTCAACTGAAAATGTTTATTTGTCCCCATCAAGGTCAAAATTGCAAGTGACCCCCAGATCTTGGGATGCCTTTGCACTCAGCGTGGCGTGGGTAAAACTCAGCACGTTTGTAATCTCAATACATTTAGCCAGGGCTGGACAAATAGCTCAGCGGATTAAAGCACCTGCAAGCAGGTGCAGGGGCTGGGGGTCCAATCCCCGGGCCTGCCATGCCAGCCCCGCCCCTGGGTGCTCTGAGATGGTGATTGAGACTGGGTATGGTGGTGCGCGCCTGTAATCCAAGCTCTTGGGAGGCTGTAAACAGTCGGATCACAACAAGTCCGATCTAGTAGTGAGACCCTGAACACCCGTAGACCCTTCCTTAAAATAAAAAAAAAAAAAAATTGAAAAGCACAGAAGAATATATTCCCCACCACATCCCTATTACCAGTCTCCTCTGTATCTTCCCAAAGATAGATTATGCATAGGCAAAGAAGGTTTCCTGCTGGGGCGATAGCTCAGTGGCACAGCTCCTGCCTCTGTTTATTTATTTATTTATTTATTTTGGTACCAGGAATTGAACTCAGGACCTCACACTGCTAGGCAGGCACTGTTCCGCTGAACCAAATCCTTTGCTAGACTAAAAAGACTATTGTGAACACAAACTGTAGCCAAGGATGGTGGCACACACCTGGAATCCTAACTATCTGGAAGCTGAGGCAGGACTCTCTCTCTTCTAGGTTGAGGCCAGCCCAGGCTACATAGTTAGTTCACGGCCCACTAGAGCTACATCCCAAAAACCTATCTCTAAAAAAAACACAAATAAATTTTAAATAAAAATCAAATTGTTTCCTTCTCTTGCTATTGCGGTCATGCTACTGTACACAGTTAATTCACGTGTGAGAAGTACGATGTAGGATAAAGTTCCAGACGTGGAATTGCCGGTTGAAGACTGCATTTGTAATTTTGAACAACGCTGCCAATGCTCCCTCCATCGTGGCTGTATTCGCACATGTTTTCTTGTCTTTTCAGTTTGACAAGATAAAAATGGAGCTTATTATAATTTTAAATTCTCTCTCTTATGAATAAAGCTGAGCACATTTTCATAAGCTAAAGACGTAAGGAATCAGAGCCTTCTCCGTAGACTGCTTTCCCATCATTTTCCCTTTGTTCATTATACTGTTAGGCCCAGCATGGTGGCGCACGCCTGAAATCCCAGCACAGAGGAGGCTGAGGCAGGAGGATCACTGCAAGTTTGAGGCCAGCCTGGGCTACACAGTGAAGGTCAAGGCCAGCCTGAACTACATAGCAAGACAGTCTCAAAAAACTAAAAAAGAAAAAAATAAAAGGAAGGAAAGAAAGAAGAAAAAATACAAATTATACTGTTAATATCCTTATTGATCTGCAAAAGTCCTTATAGATTAAGGAAATTAGCCCTTTGTTGTATGAGCTAATTTTTCCCCCATACAGGGGAGATATCTCAGCGGTCTAAGTGCCTGCCTGACAAAGGACCTGGGTTCAACACATGACACTGCATGCTGTGCTGGCCCTGCACTGTGCTGGCCACCAAAACAGCCCGGCCGGGCTGGTGAGATGGCTCAGTGGTCTGAAGCACCTACTTAGAACAAACTTAGCAAAGCACAGGGACCGCGGTTTAATCCCCCAGCACCACATGCCAGCCAGGCCCGCCCCCTGGTGGGCTGAACTGGCCACACACACACACTAAATAAATAAATAAATAAATAAATTTATTTTT